AGGGCGGAGTGGACAGGGCAAGGGGGTGGGTGGAAACGGAACCCGAAGGCTCTGAGGCTGCTCAGCCAAAACAAAACACGAACACGAAGGAAGGAAACAAAATCGCTAAAAGGGCGAGCTCAAAACAAGAAGCAAATTGAATAATGGCTACCCAAATGAATATAGTAAGTAGGTAATACATGTCCTTTTTAAAATTAGTTTTCTGTGCTCTCGTTTGGGCCTCTTAGATCAATGCTCCAGTCTCACAAGTTAAAGTGGGATAGGTCGTGGAATATTCTGTCCTACAATAATGGATTATTGGATTTAATTGTAGCAGTATAGAAAATTTAAAGAAAATCCTTAGGAGTATGGAACATAATGGTTACAAATAGTTACTCACTTGATATGGACAACAAAGCTCCCATCGAAATCCCGTGTATATCTTTTCAACTTTAACTGCACGGAAATGTTAAAGTTAAATAGTCATAAAAACTAAGAAACTTACAAATAATGTTCTAATTAATTTAATTTAAGATAACATTGTTAGTATCAACATTAATACGTTTTTAATACTAATTAATTTGAAGAAAAAGATCATGCAGTCTCCAGCAATTTGAGAGATTTTTTTCAGTTTCTATTTTGAAGGAAAAATGCAAATATTTGACTGTGTTATTCTGATTCTTATCATATAGTGCATACCTACAATTCTCATACTCCGTGTATCACTGCTCATGACACAGCTGACATCATGGCTGTAAGTAAGGGACAGTTTACCATGAAATATTTGCTATTCACGTGTTGCGTTATGGAACCGACACTTTTTTATATTCTTGATAAGTAAAGAACTTGCTTTCCATGTACCCGTATACACTGTACTACAATGCAATTGTAGGATTCCTGCAGATTGGTTTTGTTAAAGAAAATTATTGCAGTGTAATATAAGAATATTTTATTTGTTTTAGTTAATAGATTTTTCAAAACGCCGAGCACAAAAAGCTGTTTCTCGTCCTTGTTTTCCGAGTGCGATGCTGCCAATTCTTGCACAGTGTGGGAAACATCGCGAAGTGTATGTTCCGAAACATTTGTAACGATTCGCAATTGTCTTTCGTCTTTTGTTAATTATTTTCTACCAATAGTGTTCCGACATTGACTGGAATCCATTTTCTTCTGTGCAAGGTAAAAATTACTTCAGAAGGTGATTTGGAGATAGATTTTGGAGAAACGGTGCCCAAGGATTTTGCTGAGACGACAAATAATATTAAATTTGCTGCCTGAGAAATCAAGACAATACACCTTAACATACAGTGGATTTAAAAATTGGAGCAACGAAAGAAAATCCACTTCTGTTGAAGATACAATTTTATTTTAGCTAGATGATCCGTCGAAGAATTTAGCTTCGTCAACATTATGGGCTGGTTACTCTATGTTAAAAATCACCGATCATATTTATGAGAACGTTGATATCGGTTCTTATAAAATTGTGCAATATTTTTGAAAATAAAAAGCAGACGAAGTCCAGTGTTCATACCAACTAAAGTATCGAAATTTTGCAACGAGGCTTTAAATAAATATATTTATTGTACAAAATGAGTTTTATTTAATTACTATAGATTCGCGTTTTATTATATACAATTAATGTAATAATGTTAAAACTATTTTCGTGTTTGTAGGTTGTTCTAGTGATTGGTGTATCTA